TGAAGTACCTGACAAAGAAATACTTGAAGAAGAACAATGTACGAGATTGGCTCCGAGTGATCGCATCTAACAAGGATCGTACTGTCTATGAACTAAGGTACTTCAACATTGCTGAGAATGAAGCCGAGGAGGAAGAGTAACGAAGCAAATCAGAAATTTTCTCCTAAGATTTTCCTTTACTTTCACTTGCGAAGTAGATTTTATTTGTATTCAGGATTCCATTTGTTAAGACATCTCTTGCTGTTTTGTCTTTTGGGTGAAAGTTTTGTGCTATAGTTTTGAGTATAAATGAATCATTGGCAGTCTCTCATTTTGTAACTGACTATAATCCGTTCGTATCGGTCATCGCTCCAAGTTGTTCTAGAATAATAGAGCTTGAAATATACGAGTTCCAAAGATATCACTCTTCAAATTAGTGAGTCCCAAAACACAAATAATTCTTGATTGATCTATTTCCTATTTCACTAAATTTCAAATAAAAAAATTTAAAAAACTCTGTTGTTTGGTTCTTTTGTGCTTGTTTGATAGGGTGAATTGCAAGGAAAATAAGAAATTAAAATAGTTAATTATGTAGTCTACCAAACATGCCTAAAAAATTAACATTATGGACTTGATTCAAAATTAAACAGAGTTCTCTCCAATTATATTAGAGAGTTGAACGAGCAAAGGAGTGACTCAAAGTTTAATGTACTCTCGAGCGTTTTTCCATGATACTATGATCCAAATAGTCATTTATCCAGAAGTCAAAATGAAAGGGGAATATTTGGACAGATTAAATTGATAGTTAAGACGACAGTTTCAAGCTTTTTAAAGTGGAAGCAAGCAAGGAAACTTTGTTGGGAGCTCTCTGCTCGTAGTCTTTTCCCAAAGCTGTCGCGGACAGAGATGCCAGTTGCGAATTCTCCTTATCGTCCTTATTACGCCCTTTAGTCAGTTGCTCAATGGCAGAAGTGCACTGAAACGGTAATGTAAGACTTCCAGTTAAGGTTGTAAGATCGATGAAATGGATAATGCATTTAACAAAATGAAATATAAATTCAAAGTACAAAAAATGAGGGAGCCAAGGAGGGAGAGTCACCAAACATAGACCAAAAAGCGCTCTGGTATTCTTGCCACCGGTTAAGTCTGTGGTAGACGCATAATACTTCTTTGCCATATGAAGATTTTCGACTCCTCCAAAAGTGTAGAGCACCTGGGTTCACCCAAAAACATCCAAGAAAAAAGTGAGATGATTTAATCACTGTTATTGTTAAATATATACAGAACTGATATTGAATGATGTACAAATTTCCTAAAGTTGTGTTCAAAGAATCTATCAACATATTAAAGCACAGAACCAAAAATCTGCTTCATGGCCTCTTGAAATTAGTGAGTAGGAAACCATTTAACGGAACAAGAAATAATCCTTTTTGAAGTGAAAATGTAGAGATTTTACTCCCATGCCATAACTTGATATAAATTTCCTGTTTATGACCTTCCATGTTTCAACTTCTTGTTTCAGCAAAGAAACTTTGACAAACAAAAGTGTTCAATCTGACATGCACCAGTTAGCCAATATTTCTGGCTACACTCAACCAGAAAGGTATGCAGCTAACGTCAGAAATGCTGTCGTACTAATTTTCATTCTTCCAAATTCAAATATTATGGCAACTATATTGTAAACAAAATGGCCTTAGAACAGTACTCATTTGATTAAGAGAAAAATGCATCAACAGTCAATGACTCGGTCTGGTCATTTTAGTAATATGGATTGCAAACCACAGCAGAACCAAGAATGACAAAAAAAAATCACAATTAGTAGCTCAAGCAATTTGCCAGACCTAAATCTTTCAATGCCTTATTGAGACGTCAGATAAACATATACAGCCTAGTTATTTCTGTCTGTCTCGTCAGTCTTATTTAGTGATCATGGACTTTTTTTGGACAGCAGTCCCTATCCAATGATCATTTATTATCAAGTACTAGAGATAGCACGAGGGGTAATAATTCTATTAGTCACTGAACCTATAGCTTTGTTCCTGT